ACATGTAAGAGAAAGAAATCTTTCTCCGTAGTTCATCTTGTCAGAAACGCTCCATGACTCCATAGTAATGCCACAGAATTGACAAATTAGCTCCACAAGCGATAAAGGATTAAAGAAGAAACCACACAGATTACCTTCAGAGTACCACGTGCGAAGCAGGGAGTCTATGGTGATTTTCGTCCCTGCTACTGTGACGCCCTCCAAAAGCAACGTATGCCACAAAATGCCTGAGACTCGGAAAGAATGACTACACTCATCCTCGGCCACTTCTTCTTCAAAAAAGCAGTGAGTAGACCACGACAAAATGGTGTCCAAACACTGAAAAAGTGCCTCAACGGTTCGAGAAGTCTCTGAAAGACCAGTGGCCGCGCAGCACAGTAGAGCGTCCAGAAAACGCACCAAACCATGACATTCAAATACGGAGCGGCATGCACGATGAAACCGTAACGGCATTTCCCTCCCCCTGGATGATGGATGATACAAACCGAATTCCTCAACAAGATGGATCACCACATGACGCACAAAAACGATGAACCCTTCCGATTTACGTTCAGCTAGAAGAGACAGCATATCAGAAACAATCCCTAAAAAAATAGTTGTATCAACGCCACCTTCAGCACCAGCGCAGCTAAGTTTTAACATAACGGCTGCATCCAAAGCTGCCTCCGATAATACAGGGCGCCACGCAAGGGTCACAATTTGCTCTCCTTTCGACTCTACGTAATCCAATAAGAAATGCAAGAGTCGCCGTGTGCTTTCACCCCACAAAACCCCATTGCGTGTGAGATAAAACCTCAGGAGACGAAATGCGGCAAAGTGCACATATGTCACATCGTGGCCCAGTTCCTGGACGCTGTCTTGGAGTATACGAATTGTCTCCTCTGCTGCTGCAGGGTCATTAATGGCCTGTAGAGATCGAATAACATACTCTGCCTCATTATGACTGCCTTCCTTAAGCGAATGACCCGCACGCCGGAGGCCCTGAAGCAGCGCTGCGTTCATCTAACGCAAGCAAGAGAAACCCCGCCCCTCTAGTAATAATAATAAAACCAAAAAAAAAAAGAAATAATAATAATAATAATAAAAGGATAAAGTCATGTTTCATAGACATCATATACACATATAATAAGAATAAAACAAGGTCATGCATAGTACGCGGCCTGACGGTGTCGTCTTCACACATTCCCCTAGTGCTTAAAAACTTAAGTGAATGCAACAGGGACAGGTAGAAGTGCATTGGCGTAAGCCACAAGATCCTTAAAAATTGTCTGTGCTAAATCACACGACCCTAAGCGTGCGGTGCATTGAAAAGCAGCAACACGAAGGAGGGCTTTCATTACCGTGTAATCAGCGCGTTGACTGGCCTCCGTTACGGCTTTTTTCCAATCTTCAATAAATATCTCGTCAACATCAAGACCCATCAAATCTTCAACCACAGACGGCTCAAACGCGTTCTCCATCACTTGGGCAATGCCAGTGGGGGGGCTCAATATTACCTCTGACGACTGCCGTTTCCTTTTGTTGCCTCGCGAAAAAGCATTAAAAAGAGAGAGCTGCCCACCACTTGTGCTTTTCCATTCAGTCACCGCACCTCCCTGAGAATGAAGACCAGTGGCCTGCACCGTCATCCCACGAATGTCAGATATCACAATATCCTTTACCGTTTTGAGACTCACAGTCCAAATAACTCTCGATTCTGCATCGTCCTCCAAACCAAGTTCACGCGCCCTCTCCTCATCGCTCATTTGACGATCAAGGACAAACAGTGGTGTAACGACATCCTTCACTTGTGACAGCATTAATTCCAGTTCAGAGCTTCGCAGAGGTTTCTCGAAATTAATGGGAACGTGAAACTCAACACATCTTCCTCTCCCCATAAACTTTTGAGTTTCCTTTGGATGCAATGGATGTCGTTCCAAAAGAGTGACGCGCAATCCAGAGCTGGAGTAGCCTCCCCGATCCATTTTGCCGCACACAACCTCTAGTAATTCTCTCAGAATTCCCCATACATCATCCAACGTGAGAGGCCTTACCGCATAGTTCATGGAACAACTGACGCTCGTAGGCATTTTTTTCCCCAACATACGCTGATTTTCCTCGTCACCGGTTCGGCTTACTTGACGTGTGTCATGCCCCCGGCATAGGTGAAAGAAATTTTCTCCAGATTTCTGACCCAAAGCCCGTTGAAGCTGTTGCTTGGATAGCTTTTGAACATGGCAACAAAGGATATCGTCATCGCTGATGTCCGCATCCTTCAAGTACGGCCTCAACAATGGACGCAGCTTCGTCATAGTACAGCTCCCAACCCCATGAATTTCGGAAAATGGCATGTGCCCAACGAGCTCTGGTACATCTTGAGGTAAAATAGAATACACTCCATTGGGCTTGGCGTATTGTGTAGCAATACGAGAAAGCATAATATTTGGTCCGATCCCACATGAGGCGGTACAGTTTGTGGTAAGCTCCAACTGACGGAGTACGTTGGCGCAGTAACTCTTCACGACATCGTGGTTTTCCGTATCAAAAGCAATCATAACCTCATCAATACTGTACACTTCAACAGCGATACACACCTTATCTGGACAAAGCTCAAACAACAAACGGTAAAGACATTTGATTACCTCTTCGCATCGTGGCAAGTCGTAACTTAAAACCTGCAAGTTGGGACACAGTTCTTTTGCGGCATTCACATACATACCAGCACGCACACCAAATGACCTGGCAATATAATTGCTTGATGAGATATCACTGTTGCCTTTTCCCGCGGCTATACAAACTGGTTTTTCCCGCATATGAGCATTTTCTTCCTTCGCTAAAACAACACTACAAAAGAAGGCGTCCATGTCGAGATGAACAAATAGGGCCTGGTGGGAAAGGACGCCATGGTTCCATGTGGGGTGCACAGCAAACCAATCCTTGAATAGGTCATGAGCCTTTGTTTTCCACTGCCCAATGAAGTGCAGCCGCGAGTGCTGCTGAAAGTGTCGTACGCTATTGACTTGATCACAAGCCCATTTCCTCCCCACTGAGACGTTCTTTTTCCCGCTCATCCCCAACGATAAACTCAGCAAATTGATTAAACACAATTCGTGCGGTTTCGTCAACGGCAAACTGCTCACTCACTTCACGCAGTAATACCTCCACAAGGCATCTAGGAAGTGTGAATCCCTCCCTCTCAGACATCAAAGCAGCTTCACAAAAAAGAAAAGAGTCAAAAGAAACAAAAACGCTACAGTAACAAAGAAAAAAAAAAAAGTACGCACATGCACTCTTCACAAAACCGTAGAGCGAGTACAAGTAGGGTAACGGTAAATCATCTCTTTACATGTGACGCACAAGTAGATATTGGCCGCCTTTATTCTACATTCAGGACCACGTTCATCTTCCCATGCTTGTCGTCCGTAGGAAGGGACAAAACAGTAGCGCCGTTGGTCTTCTTCAATTCTTCGCTTCTGAGCAAAATGGAGGCCGTCGCAAACAAATTTCCCTCACAATTTCTGACTTCAAAGTGGAGAACATTGCTTTCTTCCGTCAATGGCCTCACCCACCTCATCACTCGTACAGGAAAGCAGACACGAAAGAAGCGGCCAGCAGTAGTCACAGCTTGTGCCTCAAGCAGCTCACACGTTACTCCTACATCATCCAAAGAGTCATGTACCCTGATGGAGAAGGACTGCAATGCATCTTTTGTCATCAGAGCGAGGCTGTAGAAGCGGACAGTCAGCTTGGATTCAGGCTCTTCTCCCACGACACGCAAGGCAGGATGAGGACAAAGAAAAGTCCCCATTATGCTCTCACGCCCAACAAATTCCTCTACCACAATGGAATCACGGCCCCAGTAAAAATCAGCAAAAAATACTCCAAGTAACTCTCGCGTTTTCTCCTGTTGAGCCCTGAGACGAACCGCCACGGATGCCTCTTGACGACGGAAGTAATCGATGAGTGCCTCCCTCCCGGTAAGCACCACGGGCTCTCTTAATACGCCTCTCGTCCTCCAGTCATCCGCACGCGAAAGTACGCGATCAAACAATTCTTGAGCGCCGTTATAAGCATCCGTTGCCGCATTTTCAATCCGTATTCGCCCCCGCTGTTCTTGGGCATCCATCAACAACAGTAACCTCCCCGATATCTCTCTGTTGATGATCTCCCTTCGTGACATCGGCTCCACAGCACGCACCAATGCCACTTCGCGATCCTGAAACAGTTCTTTTGATGACATAAAACGTAGAGCACATTGACTTAGGCGGAGCTCCTCTGAGCAGTATGCCACATGGCAGTGCATTCCCCATGAACACGCCAGTGCACCCACGGTGAGTTCGGCTTCGTTAATAATGTCTAGACGGGCAGTTAACTCATCCACCTCGCAGGCTCTTAAGTGTGGCAAGGAGTAGTCAAAGCTACCAAATAGAAATTCACGTCTCTCCCGCTCAAACTCTTCCAAGATCGTCCGCTCAACATACTCACGGTGATCCACTGCATCAAGCAGAATGCGCAAAAATTCGTGTTGGCCTTCGGTCTGGAGTTCCAACCGGTTCCACTCCTCCACTTGCCCAAGGACGGCGGCGTAAGCACTGACACGGTCTTCCAACTCCTTCTTCTCCAAAATTTCCCGGTTGCTCTTCTCCGTAAATATCACCAAAGTGAAATTGTGACGAATGAAGTGATGATGCCCATCCCCCACCAAAAGTGTGCGCTGAACTTCTTTCAAGCGATCCGCGGAGCCTAAAGAACAGCCACGCGGTGCGCTCTCCTGTAAAACAACAATGTCTGACCACGCGGTGCGGGCCTCCGACTCAATATCAATTCGACGCCACGCCTCCTCGTAGAGAAGATGGTAAAAGTAAACATCCCTGACAAACTTTATATTCGATTGCATCAGCGAAATACGGCGTTTATGCTCCATCTCCATGATGGACGCAGCTCCTTCAAGTGCAGCCTCTTCACAGCGGCGAATATAAAATGACGAATTCAATTTAATTGCTTCCCGCACTTCAGACTCAATAATCCTTTGTCGTGCTGCGAACTCTTCAGCAGCCAATATCATCGTTGCCTCAATCATTCGAGTCGACCAGACAAATTCCGAGTACCGCTTACGCAATGCATTAAACTGCACGCTTTCCTGCTTCCACAAGGCAGTTAGACTGTCAATAACCGAGTGATAGAACACATCGTAAGTAGCCTCGCGGCTTGCAAGGATGCATCGTTCGCGTTCCTGTCGATCGTTAAGTGCGTTAAAACCAAACCTCCACTGATCGAATACGCAGCGTCGCTCATACAACTCAAGTCGCTCTATAATAACGGTCCCCTCATCAGGATTCATTGTGCGTTTAAATACACTGCGCCATGTTGTTAAGAAACTTACCCGAAGTGCTTGTCGTTCCTCCATTTCCTTCCTTTCAATCATGTAACGAATGTCAAGCTCTTTAGAAGGTACCAGTAGAAGCATCAAAGACCGCTCCCTCCAGCAAGCATCGTCGCGTAACTTACGCCGCATCAGAGAGGCCCGCATGACGGAGGTGACCACCAATCGTGCTGCAGCGTTCTCTTGATCATTTGCCATTAAACTAAGTTTGAGCAAATATATTCTCTCCAGTGAGCACCGCTCTCGTTCCTCCTCCGCAAGAAGTAGCGCAAGGTCAAGAGTGAGCTTAGAGGACTTAAAACGATCCATCGAAGTAGTCCGGTAAAATTCTTGAGACAAAAGTTCCATGTCAATCTCACGCCCCACCGCCAAAAAACGTCGCCGTTCCGCTTCCACACGGTTCATAGCCTCCCTTTTTATCAGAAAACGACGACTGATTTGCTCCCGCAGCACCAAAAACGCCAAATTTTGGCATCGCCTCAAATTCATCCATCCCTTCCAGCATGCATTCTCGAGAGAATGTCTGTCATACATTTCCTCTCCCACAACGGTTAGCAGACTGGCCTCACTGTGTAACTCAGAAAGAGCCACAAGTGTCAATTCTCGGCGACAGCTCTCCTCTTCCTCACGCACCGATGCCTGCTCCTCCAGAAGGTATTGGCCAGATAAGAAGGCGTTAAGAAGCTTCACACGGCATCTTGTCTCCTGGCTCATGACAACCCCTCGGATCTGTTCTTCAGTCGAGAAAAAAACTTCTACTGACTTAACCCCCCTCAACTCCCGAATCACCTGTCGCGTCCTCCAGTTGCCGTCGGAAGCCGTCACGCTTCTGTGCTTCACGGATCCTCCACACATACCAGAAATCATTTCAGTGAGCACAGCATGTAATGGATTCTCGCCAGCAGCTGTGGCGGCTGTTGCATACATGGCTTCTTTAAGACTACCTCAGCGGGAACCAAAAAAAAAAAAAAAACACAAAAAATAAAAATAAAAATGAAATAAAACGCATCCAAGTAATTTCACAAAAGTGCAGCCCAAATTAGGCAAAAAAAAAAAAAAGAGGAAATAGCAATAATAACATCAGCAGCTTTTCCAAAGGCAATCACATATACTCACTGCGCTCACAAGACAGTTTTAATCGCCTATAAGCAATATGCTGCCGCCGATGAGATGAAAGAGTGAACCAAAGCTCTCATCGCTCCCACACACACACACGGAACCTCAATTAATCTTGCGGAAACAGAATGTGCGGTACAGTGTGACAAGCTCCAAATAGCCGCGAAACAAATAAAATCCCTTATTTTTGGTTGAGTCCTTTTTATATTCCTCGTAAAAAGATCGAAAAGTTTTGGAATATTCGGTAACCTCCTCCAAGCCGTAATAATAGGCACGCTCTCGAACGTAGGAGGCCGGAACGACATATTCTTCGCAGTCAACAAATCCCTCAAGCTCAAAAAGGTACTTTGTGCCTACTGCAAGTCTATCCCCTTCCCACACGGGCTCCGAATCAAAGTGCAGGGCATACAACCCGGTACTTTCTGTTCGTTTCTCCCGCACACGCTCGGCAAGAACCTCATCGTCAACCGTTGTCGCGATAAACACACCATTCGACGCTAACGCGCCTGCTATCGCTGCCATTAACATGTCGATACGTCTCCGGGTGTCGCATGCGTAGTGGAATGCAAATTGAATAGACACAACATGAAATTTACCATAGTTTTCCGACAATGGCAGCTGACCGCAAAGAAATTCCTCGCTAAAACAGTCTCTAACAGTAAAAACACACTTGCACGTTACTCCTGACCCAAGCGCTTCGTAGCGTTTCCGCGCCTCAGCGATGCACTCTGAAGAAACATCATAACAATCTAAAAAGACGGCTTTCGTTAAACGTTGTCGCGGCAGCTTCGCTGTGGCAAAGCTCAATTCAGGACTTTGGCAATGCAGCCACTTCCCAACATCACCACCTCGTCCACTGGCCAAGTCGAGAACTTTTACTTCTGAGCACCCCTCCTTGTACTTTAAATGATCCAGTGCAAATTGAATAATGCTTTTCTTTACATAGTTGTTAAAGAATCGAAAAGGAGACTCCTTGCTCTTCCAATCGCCCGCGCGCCTTCGTGCAATCTCATCGTAAGATGCAGCCGTTCTCTGACTCTCCGCCATTCGTCTCCCTTCACTCGTTTTTTCCTCAGATTTATTTAAAAAAAAAAAAAAAGAACCAAACTACATATATATATATATATATATATCCGGTATTCCAGTTGGAAACAGAAAAAGAAGGAAAATTTCTATAAGTCAAATTTTCTTCTGCTTTCCGCCGAAGAATTCATTGTTCACACCTCATTCTTCAGTAAGGCAATCGCTCGTTCAATCACGCGAATCACAGCTATGGTTGACACCATTGACTCATTCCCATTCGCGTCCGTGGCGAGCTGAAACCCGCATGTGCGCAGGATTTGGATGGCAGAGGGCACGGGAGCAATTTTTGTACAGAAAACACTTGTTGTTGTTTTTAATGAGCGCTTCGTAGTATCGAAGGGACTCTTAAGTATATTTCCCAAAATGGTTAGTAGCACCGCAATGCACTGACAAGCAACAGCAGCGTCTTTATGATTGCGCAACTCATCAACCAAACGGGGTAAAGAAGACGGCGGCTCAAAAGGTTTATCAAAAACGTCAGTAAGAGAGACGTTTTGTGCGATGATGCCGTCAACATCCCACAGAGATGTTTTCGGGGCACCTTCTCTTGCATTTTGCACGTCCCTCCCCTCCACGTGGGTAGCCTCCCGGCGTCGTTGGCGTACAGTCTCTTCAACCTCCAGCTCGGCAACGCGGAACGCCTCCTCCATCGCCATCCCCTGACGCGCATACTTGTCAGCAAGTAACTGCACCCTCACCCGGCGTCTGGCGATGGCATCATCTTCCTTCTGTTTCCGCACTGCTGCGAGTTCGGATTCCCTTCGAAGTTTGTCGAGCATTTCTTTGGTCTCAATAGCTCTCCTGCCCATCTCAATGCGATCTCGCTCCTTTTCAGCAGCGAGCCGCTTCTCCTCCTCAACCTTTGCCTTTGCTTTTTCCCTCAATTCGCGCACTTTAGCCTCACGCTCAACCTCGGTGAGAACACGTTTGAACTTGACAACCACCTCTACACCCTCCTCCAAAGGGGTGTCCAGCTCTGGGTGGCCTTCATGCATTGTGATCCACTGTGTGCAGGTGCCATCATCCACGCAACCCGCAACTATGGACTTCTTGATGGCATTATCGCTGAATCCCTTGCCTTGCAGGGTTTCAAAGAGCGCCTGACTGATGTAATACTTTTTACGCTCTTCTAGATTTGAAGTGGCTGAAGACGATGAAGCCACGTCAACATTTGTTTCCTTCACACCTGGTGAGTGTTCGTCGTGTCCGGGCATCGTTGAGATGATTTCGTATCAATTTTTTTTTTTCACTTTTTATCTCCTCCTCAGTGAAGCAGGCAGAGGAAGAAAAAGAGACGTGGAGGGAAAGAAAGGAGAACAACCTGAGGGGAGCAAATAAAGCACAAGAATGGTGGTGGTGAAGAGGAGTTTACCAAAGAGGGATGCAGTAAGCCAAAGAAAAGCTTAGTTGGCAGCAACACGGCCGGCAGCAAGCCGGGACACCATTCAGTAGTGAGGGGAGGGAGCTGGATGGCGTGTCGTGGCGCCGTCAAACAAGGAAGAATTGGCCTCCAAAATAAAATTAAAGAAAAGCGTTCAGCTGTGGCAGCCAATGGGCCGCGTCCACGCAGGAAAGCAAAGTCGCCCCCACCGCCAGCCCTTCAATCCTTCGTCTGCTGAATGGTAATGCTTCCCCAAAGGCGCTGAAAGAAAGGAAATTCATCAGCGAAGAGCCCCGCAGGGTTTCTTGCACTCGCCAAAAAACCTTCAAGCAAACGTTCCACGAGAGCCAAAAATCGACTCCGTTCGCCAGTCATACTTCCTGATTCAGGAGCAACCCCGTCTGCGTGGTAAAACAGGTGGGCTCCACTTCACTGCCGTATGCTGCGAGACACACTCCAAACAAAGGGGCGCAGAAGTATTCATCGATATTCGGCGAGTCATAAACAAAACAAACCAAATGTTCGAGCAGAGGGTCAGCAATACTTTATCCCCCGCCCACCTCAGCCGTCCTTGTCGTGTCAACACATGCCTCGACACATCGCCTGAGGAATGGCAAAATAATCTCGGTTTTGTCACCATCATCGCCAAAGCGTCCAATCAAAAAATCCATCCTCTCAAGCAATAACTCAGCAAAATCACTACGACGCTTTAAAAAAGTGTGCGGTAGTTACCGTTTTGAAAGATGTCGTGACATAATCTGAAATTTGTGTGGGAAACAACGTTTCAAAAAAGCAGCAAAAGCACAGACGGAAAACTGGAAGAGATTTCGTTTTTGTTGTTCTTTTTTCCCCTCATGTTTTTATTTCACTCAACTCAATGCCTCACGCTCCACGATAATGCGTGCCACCAGACCTCATGGTGTTACAACTGTGTGCCCCAGCAAGGCGCAGCGGTTCCCTGGCAATACGCCTCTGGTCGATGCCGTCAGCCACGTGCCAACAGCAACAATCCGGTGATGGAAACATTGCTGGCTCCTGAATTCCCCCGACAATAACTGGCAATTGACCCTGACGCCACGCTGCGGCGGCCCACGGCATTGCCAGAGAAGGTAATAGGCGCCTCCAAAACCACCTGGAAGCGTCCAAGTAGACATAACTGCATTCGACGCGGCACACATAGGGGCTGCCACCACAGCTGTTGGGCTTACATCAAAAAAGCAATCCAGCGCACAAAATCACAAACAAGAACACTGGAGTTTTTAGGAGGCGTTTCCTCATCTCCTCTCGTGGATGAGGCACAAAAAGGCACTGAGATCCGTTTTCCCCACAACCCTCCACGCATTCGTAAAGGCAATATTCCAACAAAGGCACTGCAGAACTAAATGACGGGTGCTATAAACCAGGCGTTGAAGTGTTCATGGCCAGTACAGTATGAAAAGAGACAGAAACCTTCCATTACTCCCCAAAAATATACGCAGCTCAAGGACAGAAAACGCAGAGTAGTTGAACAGCACGTTTATAGGCAAATTGCGTGGCCCTAGCACAACCAAAAAAAAAAACTGTCAGGAAAGGCAATTAATGAAAAACTCGTCTGAACGCGAAAATAATAAACGCTCATTCACGATGCGCAGATGATTCCTGCTCGCAATAATTGTTTTCACAGCCCAACGATCGTTCAAGTATCGTAATCGAAGAAGAGGATCGGTCCCACCCTTCAAAACCACTGGGACGCCGTGGGGCTCGGACGCCATGGCACGGCGGGTCACACCGTTCTCCAATCTGCCAACAAGATAGCGCCCTGCCTTGCAGGAAAAACCCGTACGCCGTCACAAATATTTACCGCATCCCTTTTTTTCTTTTTTCTTTTTTTTTTTCACGTAAATTCGTAAAATTTCGGTGTGCGCAACCGGTTCTCACCGAGAAGGTCCTGAGGCGAAAAGCTGGCAGGTGCGCTCGTCCCTATGAACACTATCTCTTCGCCCACACACACACGCACATCCCAAACCTTTTTTTTCAAGCAAAAAAAAAAATAAACTACATACATGCATACAATGCGACTCACTGGCAGCATATGAAAAAAGTGATACCAAAATAAATATACATGTGTGCAAGCACACAACAGACAAAAGAAAAAAAAAAGATAACAATAAAAATAAAAATAAAAAAAATTTGCATATATAATTAAAAAACACCAACAACCAAAATATACAACGAGTGAGGAAAACCCAAACAATAAAAAGAAAAAAAAAACTTGCCCCACGTGCACTGTGCATCAAAGAATGCCTTCACCACCCACTACATTCATAATTCTCTTCAGGATTCTTTTTTCGGGGCTTGAGTGTGATTG